AATGTTATGAATTTTTAAAAATGAATGAATCCATACATGTGTTATATGAAATTACTCAATGATTATTATTATGATTTATCTATAAGGCATGACATTGTTTATGATCGAGTCTTAAAAAGAAAAGTGTCATCATGCATGATTGGACGAATTGTACTGTAAAGTAAAAGTAATGTAAAAGCTAACTAACTTGTTAATGTAGCGAGGGACCAACTTATGAATTTCCTTCGCATGGAGCAACTTACTGATTTCCTATGCAGGGATGATCTTATTAATTTCCCATGTGAGGACCTGATTATGAAATTCCCATGCGAAGACAAATCAAACTGTATCGGAGGGTACCCCCATCACGGAGTAGACGTCTCAAATGTTGAGACCATGAGATGATGATTTATTTTCCTGGGTAGTTAGCAACTAAGGTCATGCCAGGTGACATGGTCCTCATCAGACATATGACATAAAATCAAATTGAAAATGAATAGCAACACGAGACGAAATGTATACATTTTCATCGTGAAAAGACATACATTACATAGTCAAAAAGTGTTTTAAAGTTAATGCAAATGATATTTTGTCAAATGTTGTAAATGTGTGGGTCCAAACCTATATCACTCACGAGACATTATTGTCTTACATATGTTTTTATTTAATGTCGTGTATCTCACTATCAATATCATAGTGTTAGGTGCAAGAAGTTAGTGAGTGTGAAGACTAACAACAAGCTTTTAAAAGGATTAGACTTAGTCCCTATTTTGTATATGTAATTTCCTCTTTACATTGGTTTGTGTGTTATCAGTTATACAGGTGGTAGATATTTTTGAAGCAATAGTAAACTGTTTTGGTGTTTGTGAAACCATGTTTTAATGATCATGATTTAAATTATAAGAATGTTTTCAAAGCAATATTAATTTACTATATTAAAAGAACAAGTGTTATAAGTGATGTGTCTTTTGAGAAAAAAGAAGCTAGAACTGTGAAAGCGTAGAAAAATGAAGGCAATGTAGTGCTAGGTGTTCATTCGACGACACAAAGTGAAAGACCTGGTGGTGGTGGTGCTTGTGAACGACAACAAAACAAAGTAGATGTTGTGGTAGTGTTGTTCCTCAAGAGAAAGGAAAACGAAATGTTGAAATGATAGGAAAAAGAGAAGGAAATAGAGTTATTTGTTTTAAGAATAAAAATGGCCAGACATTTAGCAGTGTCAATGCATTATAGATGACATGTATTAGCGGCGACACCAAAAGATGGAAAACGTTGGGTTTTTTGTTCTATAACACTATATGCGACAGCACGTCACCATATTCCTGTCTCCGTTATTATCTAAATGAGAACATAAGCAAAGATGTATTATCTAAACGATGGATATGACTTTGATTAGATAATCTTTAACATTTAACACTATTTTTTACACTGTACCTATAATTATAGTGTAAAAGATAGTGTATACATTAAAGTCTTCCAACCCATTACACTATATTTAACAATAAAAAGAATACTCTAGGTATATTGTTCTTTATTCAACACTCTATTTAGTGTTACACTAATATCCGACACTATATATAATGTTAGGTATAATATAGGGTTTGTGCATTATAATATAGTTTATAGTCTAAAAATGATTTTTTTTAGTATAAGGTTTTTGGACATAAGGAAAACACATAGATTATGAGAATCTCCTATTCCTACCTAATAAAAGAGTAGTAAATTTGCCACGTGTCAATCAATTAGAGCTTGAAATTAATTATTTATCACTTGTCAGTTTTTGGTTTTTCCTCATTAATTATATTTTCACTAATTAACTCCTCTCTTTTAGGATGAAACACGTCAACAAAAAATTGATTTATAATATATAGGGAATATGACTTATCAAGGTAATTAACTTTTCGCTATGTTCACATCTGGGTAATTATCTTTTTTTGTATATATCTAGGTAACAAACTTTTTGGAAGTGTTCACATATGACTATTATGACCTGCTATAGCAGGTTAAATCCTAGATGTGAACGCTTTCAACAAGTTTGTTACCTAGATGTGTACAAAAAAAATAGTTACCCAAATATGAACAAAACGAAAATTAAAAATTAAATAACATGAATGGTCCCTGTGGTTTGGGGGACTTTGTGGTTTTGGTCGCTAATTTATATTTTTAACTTAAATGGTCCCTACTGTTTATTTTTGTTGCGCGTTTGATCCCCGTCTTACCTAAAAATACTATTGTGCCCTTATTAATTTATTTTTTAAATTAATTTTATTATCTATGTATTTATTTTTTACATATTTAAAAAAATTAATAGACCACATATATTTGTATCTCTTCGGATGATCTCTACTGTTTATTTTTAATTAATTTTTTTTAACTCGGATGATCCTTACTGTTATTTTTGTTACGCGTTTGATCTCTGTGTTATCTAAAAATAGTATTTTTCCCTTATTAATTTTTTTAATTAATTTTCTTATTTATGTATTTATTTTTTATAAAAAAAATTAATATACCCCACATATATGTATCTCATCACCGTAAACCTGAAACCACATTTGAGAAATTTAATTTGAGTCTTACCATTCACCATCTCATCTCTGATCCTCTCAATCTTCTATTTCTTTTCCACCTTTAGTAACATCGACGTCTTCACCGTCTTTTTTTTTTTTTGGTACTTCAACTCTGACGAACCAACACCATAACCTACTGTCTCTTCATCTTTAGTAGGTTGTGGTATTGATTCGACGGAGTTGAAGGACCGAAAAAAGAAGTGATGATGAAGACGTCGATATCACTAAAGATGAAAAATAAATAGAAGTTGAGAATGCTGAAAGATGGGATGGTGAGGAGATACAGATATGTGAGGTCTACTAATTTTTCTTAAACATATAAAGCATAAGTACATAAACAAGAAAACTAATTAAAAAAAAATAATAAGGGGACGATAGTCTTTTTAGGTAATACAGAGACCAAGTTCGTAACAAAATTAAATAGTAGGGACCATCTGAGTTAAAAAAAATTAAATTAATTAAAAAATAAATAGCAGGGATCATCCGAGGAGATACAAATATGTGTGATCTATTAATTTTTATAAATATATAAAAAATAAATACATAGATAAGAAAATTAATTAAAAAAAATAAACTAATAAGGGCACAATAGTATTTTTAGGTAAGATGGGGACCAAACGCGCAACAAAAATAAACAATAGGGACCATTTAAGTTAAAAAAATAAGTTAGCGACCAAAACTACAAATTCCCTCAAACCACAGGGACCATTCATGTAATTTAATTTTTACTTTTCGTTTTGTTCATATTTGGGTAACTATTTTTTTTGTACACATCTAGGTAACAAACTTGTTGAAATCGTTCACATCTAGGATTTAACCTGCTATAGCAGGTCATAATGGTCATATGTGAATACTTCCAAAAAGTTTGTTACCTACATATATACAAAAAAAAAGATAGTTACCCAGATGTGAACATACCGAAAAGTTAATTACCTTGATAAGTCATATTCCCTAATATATATTATTTAATTTATTACAATAAATATTTAATTTATTTTATAACCGTGATTTCCACGTGATTTCCACGGATATTAACCTAATATATGTAATATGTACGAGCCTATTTGAGCGGAGACATCTAGACGTCCAACTGTATACTAATGTGTCGCCTCGTCCTAAAATAGTAAAATTCTTATAGTGAGATGAAGTTTCAAACAAAAATTTAAAAAGCAAAAAGGAAAAAAAATAAATAAAAAAAAATAAATAAAAATAAATAAATAAAACCAATTTAAAATGTGCAAAAAGCGGTTAAAATTTTAAATATAAACTATCTATTTTATAGTATTTTGGCGACTGGCTCTTTAATTTAACATTTTAACAAACGTTGTAACAAAAAATTCGGCTACGCCATGTTATTTAGAAAATTAACGTTAGAATATATAAGTAATATTATAAATAGGTATCCAAATGCGGTCAGCATATATATTATTGTCAAATAGTGTGAAAACAGTAGACAAGATTGACTTCAGTATCCCTTATTATTTTAATTTCTTTTATTAATATATTCAAATGTTTTCTTAACTATGAAACATTCATTCATTCATATTAAATTACAAAGCCGTTGTACTTCTTTTGCTTCAAAAAGAACCCCTAAATCTTCCATTTTTTATTCTTTTATTTCCATTACAATAATACCATTTTTACCAAACTCAAAAACTTTATCAATTTATTTATCGGGAAGGCAAGAAAATAGGAAGGTATTTGGTCAAAAAACGAATAATAAGACCAGTCAATATGAAGCCAAGAGTTTGCTCAATTTGCAACGCGTAAACACCATAACATGTCAAAAATTACCATATCTCACCAGCTGTACTCTGTGTTCCCCGATGCCCTATTGGCTTACTACTTTTCACCACCCCAAAGGATAACATTAACATCAACTCTCTCATCAAAAACCCTTTTTTCTTCTGAAACCGCCATTCCTAAATCCTACTTGCTTTCCTTTTTCTGCCCATCTCTCTGTTAAAACGTACGCCCCCACTCACTCTTTTTCTCTTTCTTCACCTCAAACCCTAGTTTCACCTCTACACTGATATACCCTATTCTTCTTTCTCTTCTCTCTCTCTCTCTCTCTAGCTACTTGTACTATACAGGTGGTTTAAAGTTTTTGCGTACAGGTTTGAAAGATTGCATCTTGCCTGATTTGCTTTGGTGTTTCAAGTTGTTGGGTTTATTTTTGGGTGTAGAGTACAGTGGTATAGATCTGGAGATTTTGTGGATTAGGGTTTTCATGCAAATGGGTTCAGCAAGTGGATAAAGGTTATCGTTTTGTTTCCTTTGGATTCTATCTACGTAGTGGATCTTTAAAATTTTGTGGGTAGCTATCTGACAAGTTGGATATATCTTGTAAGAGATATTGTTTTCAAGAAGTTGTTTTTATTTTCTGTTGATATTTTGGATTCTTGGACCATGGCGAATCGATGGTGGGCTGGTAATGTAGGGTTGAATCATCAGATGACATCGTCGGGACAACCGCCGTCGCTACACTTGAGGGACACGGCGGAGGAGGAGAAGCCGCGGTTGAACAGGGTTGGGCAGGTTAGGATGGAGCAAGAGTTCTTGGAAAATGCGACGAATAGTACAGGAAGCAATTCGAACAAGAACCATAACCATATCCACATGAATGATGATCACGAGGAAAATGATGAAGAGTTTGAAGACCAGGAACACAATAATGTCGGGGGTGGAGGGTCGTTGGAGATCTCGGAACCGACGAGCTCTGGCGGTGGTCGGCGGCCGAGAGGGAGGCCACCTGGTTCAAAGAACAAACCCAAACCACCGATAGTGATCACGAAAGAAAGCCCCAACGCTCTCCGGAGCCACGTATTGGAAATCAGCAGTGGCAGTGACATTTCCGAGTGCATAGCAACATTCGCACAGCGGCGCCACCGTGGCGTTTCGGTATTAAGCGGCACTGGAATCGTAACCAACGTCACCCTCCGACAACCGGCGGCGCCAGGCGGTGTGTTAAGTCTCCAAGGGAGGTTTGAGATTCTATCGCTCTCGGGTGCATTCCTCCCCGCACCATCTCCGCCGGGGGCCACCGGGCTAACAGTGTATTTAGCTGGCGGACAAGGTCAGGTTGTGGGTGGGACGGTGGTGGGCCAACTTGTGGCGTCTGGTCCAGTTATGGTGATTGCAGCCACCTTCACGAATGCGACTTATGAGAGGCTGCCATTGGAAGATGACGGAGGAGGTACAGGTGAAGGTAGTGAAATGCAATTACAGCAAACACAAGGGGTAAATTCTGGAAACAGTCCTAAATCTGGAGGGGGTGCTCCTCAGACAGACAACATACCATCCTCCTCAATGCCAATTTACAATCAACCCCCTAAAATATTACCAAATGGTCAAATGCATCAAGATATGTTTTGGGCTACACCCCCACGCCCTCCCCCATCTAATTTCTAGCTATTCTAAAAGCAACTTCCTCTTTGGTAGAAGAATAGAGTAGAAACTAAAAAAGGTAGAATCTTTATTTCGTTTTTTTTTTTTTTTCTTTCTTTTCTTTTTCTACTTCTAAGTAGGATTAGGGTTTTTATTTTACCTTGTTGTTATGTTGTAAGATTACTGTGATCTTTCTATTGTGGGGTTTAGTTGATGATGGTTCTTGAAGTTTACTTTTAAAGTATATTTTAAAATTTTCCTTTTCTTCTTTGTTTCTTTTTTTTACATTTTTGAGCAATTAAGATGGGTGAGTTGCAGGTGTTAAAGAAGGGAAGTAATTGTGGTTTCAGTTTTTGTAAGATAAAGAAGATTGCGGGGTTCAATCATGTTTCACCAGCTCATTTGCTTTGTTTCCAAGAATCATCCACTTGCACCAAGAAAAAAAGATATTTTAATATATTTTCTAATATCGTAAATCTATGCAACTGTGCTTCGGTTTTCATTGGATTGTGAATCTCTATGTCAAAGAACAATTGTTCAAGTTAGAAATATTTGGTAGATTAGTTAGATAAATAGTTAATTATTAAATTAATTAAATGTCTACGTAATCTTTTAATGACGACTACTAAATATTTGGTACGGTGTTGTTTGTCTTTTAAACATTAAAATACTTTATTTTGTGGACAGGTAGAAGAAGAGGTAGCTATCTGTAAGAAGACCACTAAAATTTGTTGATTTTTATTAAAGGATGTTGATATATATAACGTAGCAAATCGATGAAGGAGTGTGTAATTTTCTAAGCTTATATATATATATATATATATAGAGACCTTAAACGTTGCAAGTTTACAAGGATATCCTTAAGTTTATTGTTTTAAAGGTGTCTAAAGTAGATCCACCAACTCCCAGTTTGGAAATATTTAATAATATTTGTTTTATATATAATTTTTTTAATGATAAAAATGTCTAATAAATAGTGAGATCTAATAATAAGTGAGAAAACCAAACCAAACTTGAAACAAGTGATAACTATGGCACGTAATTAGCAATAAAGCACATAACAAAAATGGAAAGTGAACCAAAAACCAATCATGTTTGAAAACCGTTAAACCTTGAAAGAAGGTCTTCCACATGTTAATGTTGATTACAGTTCCTTAATTACTTACTAAAAACGTTCCAACATTTTGACATCCTCCATGACGACCTTGAATTAGTCTCATATTTCTAGTATAATTATAATATTTCAAATTTCATTGCATTTGTTGTGTTTAAAAAAAATGTAGTGTATAGTTGTTGGGTTTTTTTGGTAGTTCATAAGAATCAATTGTACATGCTTATGAAAATCGAGATGAAAGTACCCGAAAATTTAAAGTATAAGTTGAATGTTATGATATTTTTATAAAGAAAATTATTAGAACTTTTAAAGTCAAATAGAAATTTGTTGAAAATGAAATATTGGAATATCTTCTCCCTATCTTTAAATGAATTTGCCAAAAGTAGTAAAAGAATGACAAGATGTATGAATGGGGACTCATCTGTTTTGTACATTAATGGCAACTCACTCTTTTGTCAACAAGTAGGCGTTGAGATTATCAAGAAAAATAATGCCACCTACTCAAAAAATATATATATAAATACAAAACATGCACGTTTCTTAGAAAATGAAGCATTTATTGACATAATTGAGAAGTTTGTAATTTACATTGTAATAGTAAAAAAGTTTATAATTTTTTTTTTTTACTTTTTTATTTTTAATTTCTTTCATTACTCGTTATGATGTTTTTTAATATGCATAATACGTTGGGCAACGAGATTTTGAAAGATTTTAGAAGGTTTAGTTTTTATTTTTTTTAAAAAGAAAACTCGTATTATACTAGAAAATTTTGGGTAGAGATATGAGATATATATACTAAAGTTTCAATATTTTCATCGATTTAATAAGAAAGTCCTAAACTTTATTTTTTTGACAACAAAGTCCAAATTATCGGCATTTTTTGACACTTTTAGCATTTTTTTCTGGTTAGCCGGTAATTAGGACTTTTTGTTAAAAAAATAAAGTTTAAGACTTTTTTTTCAAATCGTCAATTAGAAATTTACTATCAAAAAAATAAAATTTAGGACATTTTTGTCAAATCGTTGAAAATATTGGACTTTAGTGTATTTTCGTAACCCAATAACTTTTAATTGTGACTTTTGTTGCAGTACTATTGTTTTTCTTACCATCATGATCTTTACCCTGATACAATTACAACCAGGAAAAATATATGCAAAAGAAAAGGCAAGAAATGATGAAAAGACTTGTAAAACTTTCTTCTTGCCGCCAAATCATGAACTAAAAAGTGGGGACAGATTATACAAACACAAACAACACATGCCTAGTAAAAAAATGTATGAATATCGAGAACGGAAAGAAAGGAAATTTTGTTTTTTTTTTCCAGTTTCTTATTTCTCCATTTTTGGGACTACAAAAAGCCAATACAAATTCTTTCTTTCTTTTTTTTTTTCTTTCTGGATTATCTCCATTTTTTCAATGTCGGTTTGTTGAGATTAAAAAAACAATTTAACAAGAAGCAAACATTAATTATTTCAATAGGATCTAGCTGACTAGAGAATGTTTCAATAACTCTTATGTTTAAAGAGTATCATACCAATAAATTTCTAACCAAAAAAAGGATATATACACTAAAGTCTCAATATTTTCAACGATTTGACAAGAATGTCCTAAACTTTATTTTTTTGACAATAAAATCCTAATTAACGATTTGACAGTAAAGTCCTAAACTTTATTATTATTATTATTATTGACAAAGAAAAAGTCTTAATTACCGGCTAACCGGAAAAAAAAGGGTAAAAGTGTCAAAAGCTACCGGTAATGTGATAACTCAAATTAAAATAAAAGTATATATATATATATATATATATATATATATATATATATATATATATATATATATATATATATAATTTTGTTATATTATTAAAATAATATAATGGGTGATTAATTAGGAGTAACTGGGTTTAATTAGGAGAAATAATGAGCTTTAAACCCTCAAAACCACCACCATTAATGATGTAGTAAATTCGAGCATGTGAAAGGGTTTTAGTAGTTAAAATCTTAGGCATTATATAAAGCTCGAAAAACCCTATGAAAAACCCATTAGAATTGCAAGAAAATGTTAATAATCAAGTGAGAAATCGGAGAAAGAAAGTGTGAAGATTTACGGAGCTTCCTAGCAAATTAAGGTATGATTGTTTGATTTTAGCTTGGTATAGTCATTTGATTAGGGTTGTACGTCTCCATTAAGTGTTTTGGTTCCATCTAATGTCTCTGTTCTGGCCAATAAAAGTTTAATTGATGAAAATTTTGAAATGTTTGAATTTGAATAAAAAGCTTGAATCCATATTCATTCGAGAGTATTCCTGAAAAATAGTTTATGATTACATTTGGTAAGAAGCGGAGATGATTAATGTTGGTTTTACAAATTAATTTTACATAAATTTTGAAGCATCAAATTGATAAAAAAAATGGCAGAAAAATAGTGTCAGGTAAAGAAGAAATGATATTCGGGTTTTGTTTTGGGTGGGTAGTAAGAACGGTCAAAACAACGTAGTCAGCTGTGTACTTTTTATTTTGAAGGGATTCAAATTTACGAAAGAGTCCCCTCTGGTTTTGATCAAGTTTTTGTTTCAAGTAAACGCTTCATTCTTTTTAATATGAATTAAAAAGTAAATTTACAAAAATGGTCCTTGAACTGTTAACATGTTGACAATACTAAATTCTTTTATATGAAATTTTACATGGTAGGAAGTGTACCTACTATGTAAGGATAAGTTAGGAAGGAAAAGATAGCAACCGGTTAGATCCAAGATCTTTCGACAAACTACCGAAAGTTTAATATTTCGAAAAGAACTTGAAGGATGCATATGAATAACGAAAAGGGTAGGTGGTTAACCGTAGGTAGCCAATAGTGTTTCAGGTGGAGAAAAAGTCATGATGAATGGATTCTCATGGAAAGATATGATGCGATTTTGTAAAGGTAAGTTAAGTCTCTGAGCTATTGGACCTTCTTAAGCATCGAGTTGGATGGGTGGCTCATTGATTAGAGATACCAATGGATCGAATGCAACACTAGAAAACGAACGAGATATGAAGACCAAATATCCATATTTGTTTAAAGAATTCAAATTTCGAGGACGGAATTTTTTGAAGGGAGGAAGTTTATGATAACTAAAATTAAAATAAAAGTATAAATATATATATATATATATATATATATATATATATATATATATATATATATATATATATATATATATAATTTGGTTATATTATTAAAATAATTTAATGAGTGATTAATTAGGAGTAACTGGGTTTAATTAGGAGAAATAATGAGCTAACCCTCAACATCACCAACCTTAATGATGTAGTAAATTCAAGCATGTGAAAGGGTTTAGTAGTTAAAATATTAGGCATTATATAAATATCGAAAAACCCTATGAAAAAACGATTAGAATTGCAAGAAAAGGTTGATAATCAAGTGAGAAACCGGAGAAAGAAAGTGTGAAGATTTATGGAGATTTCTAGCAAATTAAGGTATGATTCTGTAACGACCCAATTTTCACGTCCGAAAATTTCGTTTTAAAACATTACTTTAAAAAACATTAACAATTAAAAACATTGTTTGATCACACAATAACACAACGTAAACCATGTTTAAAAAGTCAAACCATACAACCCATCAAAATATCATAGTACAAATCCCAGTGAATCTCGTAAGTGCGGAACCCAGAGTGTGTGCATGATGTGTCGCTACCGCGCCAGCTCCTTTCCCTTCAAAGAAGAGGTACCTGAAACCAAAACTGTAAAACGTAAGCACAAAGCTTAGTGAGTTCCTCCACTGTACCACATACCACATAATCACATAACATACGTAAATTGTCAGGCATATCTGGGTGCCCGACCTACCCCTTCGATCCTCTCGACCGGATACTGCCTAGCATATCTAGGTGCTGGCCTCCCATTC